TAGATAGATAGATAGTGTTATGGGACCTTACCCATAATAACATAATGGACTATTCCATACGTAATAAATACTGCGCCTCAAGAGGAAGCAGAGAGTTCAGTCCGAAGTCGGGCGACCGGCTGATCGGTTGAACTCTCTGCCTTCAGGCGGGGAGGAACACGAACGAAGCTACGCCGAAGGGCGGAGTCTCTTTCGGGGAGGTAAGCCGTTTATACGGGTTCAAAGGGCATATTTTTGGCCGAGACCACGAGCTCGGAGATCCCACGGGCTCGGAGATCCCACGTTAAATCGGCCTTGTGCCACATGATGCCCTCGTGGGGTGGGGTGACTAAATACCGTTCAGTCTGAAGTCTGGAGTGAAGCCCGTCAGGAGTCTGTCAGTCAGAGCGAGCGAGTCAGTCAGTCGAGTCAGAGGCAGTCCGAAACAGTCGCGTTCAGACAATTACTACTAAACCTGATTGTTCGTACTAACACTTTCTACTTCTCTGTATATATTCCTGTTTGTAATATATCTGTGTTATTCCATATCCGTGTTCGAGTTCTTCTTTATTGGACTATCACCGTCGTACAAGGAACCGGACCATAACAGATACATAGATAGATAGAAAGATAGATAGATATAAAAAAAGAAATTGAGAAAGAAAAAAAGAAAGAAAGAAAGAAAGAAACAGACTGCGATAGATATGAACAGACTGAGATAGATAGATAGATAGATAGATAGATAGATAGATAGATAGATATTAAGGAACAGACTGTGAAAGAAAGAAAGAAAGAAAGAAAGAAAGAAAGAACTAGATAGATTGATCGAGAAAATGTGCCCTTCAGTCGCGTTTGAACCAGTGTTCCTCATTATAGTAGAAATCTCCGTTTAATTGACGACCTTTCGACTATTCGGACACAGCGTTACAGACATGCAGGGTTTTATTATCTTTTTTTTTTCTCTATTCTTTTTTCTTTACAAAGCGGGACACAGTTTCGAAGTCCGCCATTATTAGTATTTCAGCTGTTCTCCGTAATGTTGTCACTTGGATGATTCCAACTATTTTCCTAATTTAATTTCCTTTTGGCTTCGTTTCTATGGCACTGTGAGCCCTTCATGTTCTGAAAATTCCTTGTCCCTCTGACAAGAACAAGGTACTTATCTGGCACTAATCTGTGAATCACTATGGGTTCATTAGTAAGACATATATCACTAAATCATTATTATGAAGAAAAATTGTTGCAATCTAAAAATATTTTCTGGCTTTAAATAACCTGCAAAAGGTTGATAAACCGTAAAACCGATGATTCAGTTAATGAAATGCTGATGCCGTTTATATTTACTACAGTCTCTGGAATATAAAATCATAGAAACTACTGTGTTTAGAAAGTGAGGGATCAGTTTCTTTAGTGGTTGTAATATAGAATAGATCCCCCACTTTATATATACATTATAATTTCTAGGGTGTTTTTACAAATTATGGTTAGTTATGAATCCATCTCTTCTCCCCCAGCTATGGGTTAATCAGTAAGATTTGTCACTAAGCCATTATTTTCTTTAAAACAAAAAAAAATCTTACACTCTAAAAATATTTTCTGGCTTTAGATAACCTGCAAAGGGTTGATATAAGCTGTAAAAATGAATGAATCAATCAATGAAATACTGATTAGCAACACAAGCATGTCATTTAGATTTATTTACATTCTCTGGAATATAAATGTATAGAAATTATTGTGGTCACAAAGTGAAGGATCAGTTTATAGATTGAGTGTAATGCAGAATCGATTGCCCATTTCATATTCACATTATAATTTTTTTGTTTGTTTATAAAATTCTTCCCCAGCTATGGGTTAATTAGTAAAACTTGTATCACTAAATCATGTTTATCAAGAAATTATAATCTTAAAAATAGTTTCTGGCTTTAAAATAACCCGCAAAGGGCTGATAAGTGTTGTAGCATACCTACAGACGATAATAGTTATGTCAACATTCACATAAATACAATAGTAAATACTGTATGTTGGTCTGCAGTTGGAGATTTGTCTCCAGCTGTGCCGATCAAACACTCTACAGAGAAGATCCCCAGACGATGCTATATCGAAGGGCACAGTCTCGATTCGAGAAACAACTGCTCTACGGGGAATTATTGGCCGAACCTACGGGCTCGGATAGCCTACTTTAAATTCGGTCTTGTGTCACATCTGACCGCGTGGGGCGGTTGGTAGATATCCTACAGTTAGAGATTCATTGTGGAATTCACTTGACTCACTTCTAGCAGTTGACTATTACTTCTACGCGCCGCTGGCGAATCTTATATGTGTTGTTCTTGTCCTGAGTATTATCGTTCATTAACAACCTTTGTGTGATTATTCTATTCAGTAACCTTCCCTAGCTTAAACAATAAACCCTAAAACAAAATTAATCAAATGTTTTCTCTCAAACATTACTATTGTCAAACATGAATAAGGTATTATAATGTTGATTCCATATTAGGGTTGATAAGATAATGTCCCATCAGTCATTGTTATTATATTGTATATTTTAACCTATTTTTAATGTAAAAAGCGTTCAAACAGGTAATGGTCATGTATTGTTTTAAAGAACATTTTATATGCTTTCGTATAAAAATTCAATTTTTTCACTTGCTGCGTACATATTTTCTCAGACGTCTTAGGGAAGAAGTAAAAGAAAAGCAATTACGTCACATTTACTTTTATGAATATTCTAAACGAAGAACTGTACCAAATAACAGAAACCACATCACTTGAGGACCACCAACAGCGGTAACAACTAAAATGAATAGCAACTGGAAGGGAACATGATGACGTAATTCCGATGCTGACCTTCCACACTACTTCAAACAAAAAGGTTAGGAAGGAAACCCCCATCGGTACTGGAAGGACCTATAACATCTACTGGACTTGAGAAATCTGTTTCCCTGAAAAAAAAAAAAGATTTTATAAATTTAAACGAAGAGTGGCACTGGCTGCTCGGTCAATAACTGCCGAATGTTTCCTTATAAGGAAACGACTAATATTAACATTACAATTACCTTTCTATCTTTAT